GTCCTCTTACAAATTAATGTTCACCACTGAAAAACAGCAACTACGGAGAATATGTTAGGAAGTTTGTCAGTCCAAGAATTGTCAATAGAACTATCAAAAATAATAAGATCATTCATGAAACTGAACGGAATGAAATGATTCTACGAAATACGATCTATAAAAATCAATATTTATTTTCAGTCATGACCACATTAATTTTCTGGGTGAAATTACTAATTTATGTTTATTGTTGTTAACTTACGCGGTTCAAGATTGAGATACTTTTTTTATTGTGATTCCAAATTTATATGTATATATACTTATCATACGATGGAAATATACTATATGCCTTTATTTACCTAAATTTTGATTAAGTCCGCGAACCGTAAACTTGGTACATTCTGTGCTAATTGTCGAACATCACATACGACATTATGGAGACGTAATCAACAAGGCGATTCAGTATGCAACGCATGTGGACTTTATTACAAATTACATCATGTAAGTTTAATATATTATAAATCTCGATGAATTTATGAAATAAACTCAAAGTAAGTAAATCACTTTAAATTACACAGCCTCAACGTAAATTTAATAACCTTATTCTAAAACGGCGGACAAAAAACATGATCAGATTAACTGTGACCTTTTTCTTAACCGGTAAACATTAACAAAAGCAACAAAAGATGAATTAAACTAGTTCTGAAGAAAAACTTTTGCGAATCTCTACGATAAGAATTATAGGCTGACACAAATTTTCTGCTTGATAATTGGCTTGTTCCTAGAGCTGAGAAGGATTAGATTCCTTACCGAGAAATATCGATCAGCATTCGAAAATCTGTATACGGTTGAGAATCCAGGAAATAATTGCTTAATAAAAGTCAAAAGGAGAAGAAGATAGCCAAAACACTATTAACGCCACTAGTTAGCTAAGTGCAAAAGATTACTACACCGGGTTATATTAACCTAGTTTAGAGAAATTAAAGGATAATCCATGCTTTATTAAAGCATCGTTATTATGAAAATATGGTGAACAAATGAATACTTTAAAATTATTACTAAATTCAGTATTCTATTGTTACAAATAACTGTATTCCATACAAGTTATTCTTTAGGAGCATTGAGTGGAACTTCTTTCACGAGTTTCATTAATAACCAAAACTTTTCAGTTATAAAAAAACCCATGTAATTATTAAAATAAATGAGTACAATATTAGAGATATTAGCTTTTATGATTCCATCAAACAATATTTGTTCGAGTCTTAAATATATAAATCCATCCGTGATCGTTGATGAAAACTATTGGTTGATATATCGAATTCACGAACTTGATCAGTTTTTCCCTGTTTTTTTTTACATGATTAGTCATATGGTAAGAGTGTACATTAGAAAGTCGATTGAAGCTCAAATCATCAGTAAGCACGAAGTATTTTGAGCACAAAACATTTGAGTGAATTTACACATATTTCACTACCTTGTTGCATTAATAAATTATAGATTTTATTCTATTGTTTAAATATATAAATCTAAAACACATTGATTATTGTACTCATAGTATCTATCATAAATGAATATTTTATTTTTCAATGTTTCTTGTTTTTGAAAAAAATAAAAACAAACGATACCCCCTCCTCCCCCCCAGATAAATCGACCATTATCTATGAAAAAAGAAGTGATTCAAACAAGAAACCGAAAATTAACTCAAGCTAAAAAAAGGAAAGATTTAGAACATTTCACTAAATTATTCACATCCAATAATACAAAATATATTACAAAAGAATTACAAGCAAATAGTACAAATTCAAAAATGACACAATGGTTTAAAATGAATCAAATGGAATCAACAATACCGAAACGAACACTTTCTAATGTATTTCATAAAGAGAATTTACTACTGAATGGTAATAGTAATAATAATAATAATAATAATAATAATAATAATAATAATAATAATAAACCATCTTATAGACATTTGAACTATCCAATTACAAATTTTTATTCATGTTCAAAATTCTATCAAAAAAATAAATTAGATAAAAATTATTATACTTATTTAACTGATTCTACAAATGAACACATTGAAAATAATCATCAACAATTGAATGCTGCAGCAGTAGCAGCCGTTGCAATTGCAGCCAGTTATATTAATGTTTCAACTCATTCAACAAGTTCAAATTCAATATTATCAAAGAATTCAACAGAATCTACATCATCACCATCTTTAACAACAACTGTTTCATCACCATCATCATTATCACTAAACAGTTCTTATGTATTTAATACGAAAACAACAGACAAAGTAATAAGAGAACAAATAAAAATTCCTATAAATTCAGTAGTTTTACAATCATCTAAATCTAATGAAAATGAAATGATCAGTCATAATTCACAATCTAATTTTAATCTTAATATGAATTCGTTTGAAAATAACACTTCATTAATTTCAACTCCATGGAATTCTTTTATATCTAAAAACATCTAAACTAGATCTTTTATTCTTTTCAGAGAAAAAAAGATAAACATTTTAAAATATGAAAATGTAATTTAATCGTTGAACTCATGAGTCGATTGAAGCTAGACCACTATTGAAAACCTGAAATTACTGAAAAGTCATCTAGTCCTAGTATGGGACACCTCAGAAGTGATACATCTACGATCTCGCACACGGGATTCAAATCCAGGACCTTTGGTCTCGCACGTGAACGCTTAACACGTAGATCAATTAACAGACATTCAACGGTGCTGATTTATCACTTCAGTCGATCCATGATAGATCCGTGTCAGATAGTTATCTATCAAAGACAGTGGAGGTTGGTCATGCAATATCGTGCATTATTTGAAGTTGAAGGATACCGGTCCATTGGTCTAGAGGTTAAGCGTTTGCGCGCGAGACCGGTAGGTGCTGGGCTCGAATCTTGAGAGGCAGGATCGTGGATGTGCACTGCTTGGGAGTCCCATATGAGGATGAAACAGTTGTCCAGTGCTTCCAAGTTTTCCATGTTGGTCTAGCTTCAATTGACTCCTGAATTAAACTATTAAATTACTATAATATCCACAAAACCTCTCTCTGAATATGAAAATGTCTTGATTAAATGTTATGTTGTATATATTATAAAATTCTAAAAATAATATTTGACCATTTTCAAACATACTTCTTAATAACTGTCAGTATATTTTGCTTTACTGTTGAAAAATTGAATTTATTTGATAAATATTATTCATATGTATGAACTTTTTAATTCTTCATTTATTTTGTATGAATACGAATGATTTGATATGTGGTTCAATATTGACCAAAAAAGTAACTTTCAAGTCACCATATCATACAGACAGAACAAATTATAATTACAGTTTTTTTTTATTTTTACACTTTTGGAATCTTTGGGAATATATCGTAAACTATGCAAGAAATAAGGTAAGTGGAGTTGTTTAATTAGAATCGCATGCAAAAAGAAATGTAGTGGTTCGTGATACATTTCAGTAATAAACTTTAATACTTTCAGAATAGTTTACCTGATAGTATACAAGTAGGTGCACCATGTTAATAAAATTATATGAGCACATCTAATAATGTCTTATACATGTGTCACGATGTCTCTGTAATATGTCCAAGTTTATCTACTGAATGGACTGAATAAACATATACCGTTAGAACAGAACCGCTGAATGAAAAATTCAACAATCCTTCAGAACTGTTCTTCGAAAATGGAACCCTTAGGTTTCTATACAAAAATAATGCAAGATTATTGTTAAATGACAAAATCTGTTATTAAATATACTATGATAATAGCTTCTGTATTGATCTTAGTGATCCAGTTTGATAAAAAGAAATATAGATGTAATAAAAATTAAGAGGATCCCACGTAAGACCAGAAAATAACAATCATTCAACAGAAATCAAGTCAAAAATCTTGTGACAAAATAAACAGATCAGCCTGAAATTCCCTAGTTCATCAAAAACACAAGTCAATCTAACTGAAAGAAGTATTCGAATATATTTGTACTTTAATCAAAACATACAACCACATTCTTTTCTTTAAATAATCGAACGCACGTTGAGAGTCAATATACTTTACTAAGGGTCTGCAGAAAATGACTAATAGGACATTAGAATGTGAAGTACTTGAGTATGTTGATCACCTAACTAACTTGGGAGCTTCATCCCAACTAGTGAATCAGTTGGTGATAAGTTTTGACACGGATATAAAAAAGATTTCTTTGAATACTCAAATTTGTCCCATATATGGATCAGACTAAATATGCTCCTGAATAATAAAAAGGTGAGTAAACGGAGAATTCTCACGGAAGCTAATCAAGACCTATGAAAGTAGAAGATATGAATAAGCTACAAGTAGTTGATCATATGTTTTCAAAGTAGTGATGACATATGGCGGAACCCCCAAGTAATTAGTGTTGAAGCTAAATGTAGGATATTAGTTAAGACAGTGAGTTGGTTAGTGAGGATGTGAACCCTCATTTGTTAGGGTAGTTGGAATGAAATACACATGTCCAGAATCCAATTATCACGATATGAAACGGTGGCTAAGATTGGAATGATTTAGACAAAAATTAAGGGCATTTAGGTGATGATAAAACAACGCTAGCCATGAAGCTACGGACTGTGAAGAGGATCAGTGTTAGGTGCTGATCATACATTACGGATCCACAGGATAATCGTAATCAATAACTGAAGATCATAATTTACATGATTCGAAGCGGATTGATCCCTTATATTGCTCTCAGTCTCGAGTTATGATCCTATTTAATACTTTTTTCCCTTTGATTTCGTTTGTACTTTCTGAACTATGTCTTGTATTTATTGTCTGTACTATACGTGATACGACTTAAGTATTACTTTTCTCTTACCATGCTGATGTATAATGTGCAGACATGGAGTAACACATATTTATTGTAGGTCCTACTTTGTTTATGAATGACTTTTACAGCTGTTAACACTAAACATTCGATTACAAATGAAGATATATACACGTTGAGGAATTTCAGTATGAAAAACCACCATCACTGACAACTAATTTTTGTTTGGTAACTATGTACTGCTGAAGGATTACTAAAGAAAACGACAGTTTATTATATAAAAAGAAGTTTAAAAACGAAAGTTAGTTACACAAGTGATTTTTTAAAAATATTTTCCGGAAAAAACTAAGCAATATTTTGTAAATATTTCAAATAGTCCTACACAACTATTAGCTGAATGGCAAATACAATATGTGAAATGAATGCGTCAATCGAATACACAAAACATCGTATACTGATATGAAATAGGAACAAGTCGGTATTTCCACAGACAGTATTTAAATGCAAATAGATTAACAGAAAAGCACTATCGTTTCGCTGTAATAGCATTTTGAATTGCTGACTTTTTAGCCAGTTTTACATTTGGGGAAGGAGCCAACCAAGCTTGTCGACAGATTGATAAAGAGGAAAGAACTCGAGAAGGTTTCGATTCTCTACTCGTAGCATTACGTTTATCACACGAAGATAAACTTCTTCTTCGAACTTTTACAGTGATATCAGAGGATATCTTACTGTGTTGTTTTAGCCAATTTGGAGCATCTTCACCAAATGGGTTAGAAATAGAATCACAGTCCTCATTTTCGACAGAATTATTAAACGGCAGACAATGATCGGGTTCATTTTCAGAACTTCTTTTTATTTCATACTGATGCAATTTTCCAGTCGACAAATTGATTTTAGGAGGCTTCCAAAGAGGTTTATGTTTCTCAAGCTTATCATCAGAATCCAGATAGCATAAACAAAATTCATTCTCCGACTGCAATAGAATTCCGTCTCCAGTCGAAAGCCAGACGAGGGACGAAACTAGAAAATTGAAGTGTGTTGGGGCCTGAATATCCAAAAAGATATACAAAAAATATTATTAATAATGTAACAAAGTTGGGTATTTTATGCTGCTTTTTATGGTGTCTTTATTAGTAGAAGGACTGTGGTACGAACTATGTGACTACAATTTACAGTTATTAAGCCGAGTATTCAAAAACAATCTGTAAATTACTGTGGCTTTATTAATATGTAGACAAATCACGATAGAGAGCTGTAGATTCGTTGTGAATATAGATATGGATATCACCTAAAACTTGGGTCATCGATTTTTCGATATATATAAAAGAATTGCTTCTGATGTGCACCCTTAAAGCAAAATTCATCCTTAACAAATTAAAACTCTTTCATTCAACTAATCACGTCACTATATCCTTTTATTTTGACTATCTTCTAGATTAGTAATCCTATTTTAACCAACTGAGCTTTACTCACTTTACTCTTACTCATTATCAGAGTTGGTTCGTAACGTAACCACTTGTTGCTGTAGAGCGTTCTTTCACATACGATATATACAATATTTTATTTAATCTATTGACTCTTTCAGCCATAAAGGTTGGTGAAGTCGACTGCCTTTTCTGGAAACATTCATAGATGACATGGTACAAACACCAAGGTGAATTAGACGTATTAGTCTTGAACTTTCTCTCACTTCACACATTCATGGTGACGGCAGACCACATATGAATCACATAGCAATGATTTATCATTCCTTCCCAAGTTGGGAGTTACTTTGTACATCCTTCATATGAGCAGCGGTCCAACTTGTTCCTCGTCCTTTGTTCGTTGTCATTCTCTCTTTCACTTGTCAGGACCGCATAGTTATCTCCCTGGTCAGATCACGTCGATTTCCTTTCAGTTTCAGGCTGTTGTTGTGAGTGGCTGGTTTTGAGAATTCTTAGTAACCATTCTATTGATTTTCGTGTTCTTAATGTTTAAATGGGAATTATCTGTTTTTAGCCAGTCATTTTTATAGGACAGATGTATCCGTTTTCTTAGCTTCTGCATCTTCTAAACCGTAATCACTTCTATAATATCAATACATTTCTTTATTTATTGCGAAAAATCGACTACAATTGCAATTTAGGTATTTCATCATCGCTTTTCTAGTATGCCGGATCGCATTTACTGAATCTATTTAATTCTATAATGGTCGGGCTATTTATCTATTCATTTGGTAGATATTATTTCGGTGCCACAAAACCGATCTGAATTTGTCTTACCCACATTTTTTGTGGGCACTTTTGTGACAATTCTCAAACACACTCTTGACCGCTTTGAACAAAACACTATCCTTTCTTATTTTGTCCGTTTACCACACATTCAGTCTATTTGCCTGATTTTGATAGTTTCTTAATCTCTCTCAATTCTTCTATAGTCAATTTTTTCTTGTTATTCATTCCTAATATCATACGTTTCATAGTATTTAGCGGTTTCTAATCTCGTTGCATTTTTTTGACATAAGACTATTATTTCTAGTCCATACATTAAAGTGGATACTACTGCCATTTCAATCAATCTTGCCTTTGTGCTAATGTTGACATTTACTGATAGTAAGGTCAGCCTTATTGGTCTTATGTGAATTATTGCAAGTTATCTTGTATGGCCTCCTCAGAGAGACCATTGTTACACGCTTTGGATCCAAGGTATTCAAATAAATTTACGTTCTCGATTACTTTTTCCTCAATTTTAACTGTTTTTCTATCTCCACTAGCATTTATGATCATCACCTTGATTTTTTCACTTGATATTTTCATCCCGAGTTTGTCAAGAAAATTTTGCATTTTATTTAACAACACAGTTGCACCATTTGCTATCTTAGTGATTAAACACAGATCATCCGCATATTCAACAAGCTTAATTATCCATTCACTGTTTTATTTACCTATCACCTTTATGCCAGTATAATCTTGTTTATTGTTTCTCTCAGGATTTCTTGAAAAACAAGGTTAAAGAAAAGTGGACCCTCTTTGCTCCCTCATCTGACACCTCTGTCCATTGTAAAGTGTAAATCCGCTCGAATCAAGTGTCATTTTGGTTTTAGAAGTAATCGTTAAACATTTCCTTTAATATTTGCGGGTACATTTGGTTCATTTATTACTTTACTGATCAATCCCTTCAGCACAGTATAGAATGTTTTTATTAAATCAAATCCAAAGTACAATTTTGGATTTGGTAACTAAAGCACATTGAATTATATGTCGAACAGTTATTATCGCTTATGCTGTGGATGTGAAATTTCGTAAACCAAATTGTATCAAGTAGAGTTTCTCATCAGTCTTTATATTTATACGGTAATATAAAATTTCGTCATATATCTTTCCAATTACATCAAGCAAGAAAATACTTCTATAATTGACCGGATTTTTTCTATCTCCTTAATAAGCTGATTACATCTGCGTCTACATGGTGTTGTAATATTGTTTCTGGGTCCATCCAAAATTCACTCATATTTTTAAAGAGTATTTCTTTCAGTCTGCTTCCTTCTTGCTTTGTCATTTTTGTAGTTATTCCATTTCTACCCAGTGTTTCGTTAGTTTTTGTTCTTTTTAGACTTTTTACAATGTCTGACATAGAAAAAGGGGATATCATTTTCACTTATATTATTTTCAGACTTTATGCCACATTCTACCTTTTCAAACAGCTATTGGTAGTAACTTTTTAGTATCTACATTTATTACCTGCTTCACGTTTCCTCGTGCATTGTTTTTATTATTTAGATTGATGGTATTTCCTTTAGTCCTATATTTGCTTTGTGATGCTCATGTTGTGAGAAGAGTAGTTTTAGTTCTTCCATTTTGCAGTTTATATATTCATGTTTAACTCTTCTTATCTTTCTATTCACTTCATTTTGTAATCCAGCGTATGCTTTTCGTTCCCTTCGGATGAATCATTTAACTATTTTTTCCTCACATGTTTTCAGTCGTTGATTTCTTTTCTTAACTGCGCATTGACTTTCTCTTTCTACCCTTCGCTTAAAGGTTTAGATACTCGCCTGGAACGAAAAAACCTTATTGTCTCATCAAAGAACAAACTTTACAGGAATGTGAACTGAAAAGTTGGCTTATGTGATGATATCTTAACATAATACAGTGGCTTTTGCAACTCTCTAAAGATATTTATATTGTCGACATTGAATAGCTTGGACAATAAGAGATACCCGATATAATTGGTATGTTTGCCATTTCCTATAAAGATATGAGTATGCGTTATTTTTCAGATAGATTTGGAGAACTCAATCCCATCACCTGATAAAGGAGAGCACCGATAATGATTGCTCTTGCCCTATTGATATATATAAAGTGGGGAAAATTTGTTTGTAAAACATGTTACTATAAAACAAAACTAACCTGGACTGCAAGACATCCTTGAGGTGTCCACAAAAATACTGCATCTGAACCTGTACACAAAGCAAGTCGAGCAGAACACCTCGGATCCCACATCAGAGAAGATACACAACCACTAGTATGAATTAGAAGACTAAATAGACTTAGACGTCGATCAATTGACCAGATCCAAATTACGCTCGGACAATTATCGTTTCGTGTGGCCAAAAATCGACCATCTGATGAAAATTCTGTCAAACCAATTCCTACCTACAAATATTTCAGAATTTTTTTGTATACATCAGCGTTATAACTTAAAAAAGGGAAATTCTGAAAATAAAAGAATATTTTTCATGCACTAATATGACGATGAAAGCGCGTAAAATACCTAGTATCATACTGACGAGCAAAAATCACTACCTAAAATTCCGTTTTACATGTTTAGCATCAAATAACCATATAGGATCATCCTTACCTAATATTTCTATAGCCTAACCTTTTTGCTGGTGTTCGTCTATACTCTTAAATATTTTTAGTTAGCTGGTGATAGAAAATAACAATGTTTTATCAATTCTGAACTGAAATTAAAAAAAAAGGTTATTGAGCTATCCCTATTGGTTAGCTGTCCAATTTTCAGTAAGTCAGCGGATGAGATTGGACTCTTTAGAGGTGTAATAACTTGATTAACACACTGTTGGACGTATGTAAGCACTAAATCAAGAAGAACTTTACTTAAAAATGACAACCATAATTGAGTTCTGTTATTATGATATATATGGTACATACGTAAGAAACTGGGAGTTCGAGTTTTAAGATGGCTACTGAATTCAAGAACTGTTGGTGTAAATCATAAGTTGAAGTCCGTAGAATGGCCGTTGAGATTTACTTCGTACTGAATAGATGAGACATTACATTTTCTAATGCACCAGGAAAATGATTTCATGATCAATTGATATTTCTCTCGGATATGTTAACCTCAGAACTATCTAAATCGTAGCTGGTACCTTAATGCTGTGATAAATTTTGAATGTTGTAACAAGCTATATTGAATAGGATACATGTTATTTGCTCCGCAAGGGCAAGATTTAAAAGTTACGAGGTTGATACAGCAGAAATAATCGCTCAGAAAAAGGACATTGGTGACTAACCTTGAGCTTTTATCGTGCTCCTAGGTTGATAAGGACACCAACATCAATCTCGTTTTATTTTCTTGCTGCTCAGAAAATACACTTTTAGTATCCCGGAGGTTGGAAGATATCATATTTCTACATACCTTTAAAAGCACTCGAGTTTCCAAACAGTTTTATTCATTATTTATTCAACTCTTTTCTATCTCTATAGTCCACACTAGTAAAAGTTAATCCAGTTTAGGAAACGTTATCCACAGTTCCACGAAATCACACTCCAAACTATACATCAGAGATGATGATGAGTTCTATCGAAAGCTTTCGGGAATCCTTTAGAAAGCCAGGCACTCAGACATAATAACTGTAGTGAGTGGTATCAACAGCTATGTAGGTGGTAGGATAAGACGTCTTAAACCAGGTGACTGAGAAGATGAATGAGACACTAACAAACACCTTAACTACCCTCAGTTGTTCTCTAGTTACTCGCTATCTATTAATAGTATGGATGGAGATCAAAATTAGACTTCTAAGTCTTAGTGAAGATCTGAAGAGCATAAACTTTGAGGACGGTTTTTCAGCATCGTTAGTTAGATTTGCCGAAATGCTAGCTAGAGTTCGGGAGCTATAAGTGATTCGAAAAGATTGTTTGTGGTCACTGATGGAGCACATAAACCTACTGAAACTCCGTTATTCAAACATCATTGCTCTAGTCAAAGCTTAAGGCGGACTGACCTTGTTAAGTAGTAATCGTCAGAGTTCTCCAGTTCTACGGAATTCTCCCACAGGTATACTGCTAGAAATACCAGCTACATTATCTGAATTTTTACGAGTATTACCCTACCGGAGATTCACTTATCGACTTACAATATGCAAGTAACAGTTTTTTTTACAATTTAGAAGCGGACAACATGAAGACTTATGAACACCTTGATCAAAAATCCTATAGTGTTCGGCGTTCATTTCTTCCCTAACAAGTATGAATTGCTACTTCAAAACTGATCTTTATCAATACATATACAAAATATAGAGAGCAAAGTAGTTGAGCATTTTAGCCACTTCACTTATATTGGAAGTTCTATCAGTTTTGAAGGTCTACAGGCAATAACTCCACATTCTTATGAATTTGAAAATAGACTAGAAAATTATATAAAGTATATTTAAACAACTATATAAACGAAAAACAAATACATCTATATGGATTGTGAAGAGAAAACTACAAGAAACTAAGTAAACTAGTGATTTGAAACAAGTTACATAATTACTACTAACCTTAGGAAATGCTTGGTTAGGATCAGGCTTAATTGATTGAATGGTAACAGGATCATTTAGTAGTTTGTACTGGACAGTAGATGAATCTAGGGGACCTTTAAAATTGGTTGATAAATCTGACGAAGCACCTGTTCGAAACTCTTCATAAATATCAATACGGTGTGCCCGATATGTTTCTAAATCCCCATCAACTTCATTATCAACACACAAAGGACGGCCATTAGGACTAAGTCCGAGAGAAGGATCGATTGGTTTGTTAACAGGATGCTTTAGACAAGCTAAACAAGTCCAATTGAAATCATTTAATAAACGACATTTTTGATCGTAGCTATTAGAAAAAAAACAGAAAAGAATGAACAAGTATGAGAATGTTTTAGTTTAGTTGAAACTACATAAATATTGTTAAACCATAACAGTATACCCCTTATGTACTAACGGCACTGGTTAAATCACTAGCGAAAAGCTTAGCCCTTTATTACATTTGTATACAAGATAAGGATGAAAGGACATTTACGCATAGGTATACTAGCCTTCATTCATTTGACAATAATTCAGTGAAATCTACTTATATAAAAATGTGGTATGCGTTCAAATTGGTTCAACTGTTTAAAAATTCCTATCATATTAAAACACAGATAAAGAAACGAAGACAATTATTTCCAATAAATTTCCTACGAGTTCTACAGTAATAAATCCAAATCAATAGTCCAAACGTTTAAGGCAAATATAGTGCTTGAAATTACAGCATAAGAATTTAGGATTATTTGTAAAATAAAATAAAGTTGTTAATGTCGAAATGACTAGTATGCAATTTTGACTTAGTTGCCAGAGTTTTAAAAGATTTATTTTCCATGAAAGTGTTTTAAGTTTCATTATTTAACTCCATCACGCATATTCAAAACCTCAGCTGTGGAAAAATAATAAGAAAAGCACAAGCACCCAAAAGCACTTTTCACGGAAATTTGTATTAATGTACAACAACTTATGAAATTGAACGTTCCACCAGCATAAATATCGATCCTATATAATAAGTGTTTGGATAAATATTAAGGTTAAAATAAAGCAACTAGTTTTCATGAAAGACTTATTACTGTTGTATTACACATTATCCAATAGCTTTATATACTACTAGATAACCTATTCCCCCTTTTAGAAACAACATATCCCTATTTATGAACGTTTTAATGACACAGTCAACTGGTTACTCGATTTCGGACTGTAGCCAGTGACAATAATTGTACAGCTAATCTAAAGGATGTAGCCAAAAAGGGAGTTTTTCTCTCGAATTGGTAAAATTAATAAAAATTCTCGAAGTATACATACTATAAAATCGCAGGATTAGGTGTTGCATAAAAATCTAACATCGAAAAGGTGTTACTATACTGGACGACAAACGAAACTCTGCTTAAAATACTACTTATTTGCCATGAATAATGTGTATGAAGTCAAATCAGCTGACGTTACTTATCGTTTGCAGTCTATGAAATAAACGTATGTACCCCAACTGTACTTTACATGAAATTTACGAAAAGGTAGAAAATTCTGTTATAAAAACTAATATATGTAAGCAGTAAAAATATATAAGACCCTGTCGCTTTATTATAAGCACTCTTTAATACACGTAACTAAATATAAAGCGCAAACACCTGAGCATTTTGCCTTATGATAGAAATATAACAATCATCTAAGTAACAAATTATCGACATTTATTAGGTGTACAAACTGGGATAATAGATTAAAACCAAGTAATTAAAAAAATTAATTAACACGACGAATAAAAACACAAACGGACCTCCCCAGCGCTAATAATTGCCCTGTGGGGGACCACGATACAGATTTGATACCCAGAAGCTCTTGTGTTGGTTTATAAGCACAATATGTATTGAGATGTTTTCCACCAACACTGTATATAGATGCTTTGTATCGCAAGCAGTTATCGTACACGAGGATATATCGTCCATCTGGAGACCACACAACTCCCACAGCATCATCAGTTTCTAACGTTATGTTCCAAAGAATAGTCCACTGAAGTTTGCAATCGAAGAGACTTAAGTGATCTTGAAAATTCCGTCGTTCAAGCAAAGTTAAATAACGACCACCAGGACAAAATGCCAAATTATTTGCACATGCCTAAATACATAAAGTGCAAGCAGAGCTTACAGTAGGTAATCGTTGTAAACAATGACTATTAATACGACACCTCAATCCGTACTAAATATTTAACGACAACAAACAAAAAACTCGTTTACAGCATATTTGTTGGTGAGCACTGCAGTTTCTCTACATAAAAGTTGTTTTGATGAATCGGCTAGAACACGCTATACTAATAATCGCCAAATGCTTCTGAAACAAGAAATGCTTTTTAAGTGTTTACATGGCTATCAAGAATATATCACAATTTGATAAGAATTGACTTTCAGGGGAAGTTTAAACAAGAAATTCTTCTCGTTCAACTATAAAATCACTAGATCCTCATCCGGTATCAAGAATTAAAATATATGCATCGCAAAGGCACTTTTGTTCTGAATGTTATGTTTTAACGTGTAGCAAACTAGAAATAAACTACATCAAGTGACTCGCTATGTGGTTGAGAGAAAATTATGTTAGCAATGGAATAGTCCCAATCGAACTCTACAGTTGAGTACTTTTGATGTATACCTATGTTACTGCATGAAGATAGGAAGAAATTATGTTGAGAAATATGTGGAACTTTTTGATCACTGAATGATGAACCAGTGTTCATTTAGTAGTCCCATAGTTAAAGCTTTTTCACAGTAACTACTGGTTTGTAATTAAAACAAATAAAGCTAAGAATTCGAGCGAAAATTAAGTACAATGACTGGAAATCTTCGAAGATGACAAAATCCGGCATTCTCGAACTGGTCATCAGGTGATACTACCTTACTTGGTAAAGAAAAGCAAACATGATTTACAAAAATTATTTATAAGTACCATAAAGATGGCTTCATTACTTATGAATTAAGTAATCAAGTGATCTACATTACGTGGCTCCTGCTAAGCAAGTAATAACTGTAGAGCATCAAGTTCGTATATAGACTTAATGTAACAAGAAGATAGAAATACAATAAACAATACTTCCGAAAAATCTAGGGGTTTCATTTTACATTAAGAAAAATTGCTCTATTGATACCGCTCTGTCTTAAATCAGAGAAAAATCTAAGGGTTTACAAAATAAAACCAGAACTCACTTTAGGAAACTTTAGATACGAAACGGAGACTTCCGATATTGACCAAACGGTTATCCTCAAATAAAAATCAGTTGTTGTCAAGAAGTGTCTGCTATCAGGCGACCATATAGCATTAAGAAGTCCAGCAGAACCCTCGTCAACTTTGCATGTCCAGTCCGGATTTTCTAGGGAGAATATCTACGTGAACTAACAAAATATTAAAACTTGCTACCTGGACTATGCCACGACGTTTCAGGATAATCAAAATGAACAATGAGTCTGCTGACCACAATATGTTCTGCACTATATCTACACAACTGTATATCTGAAATATTTGTAGCGTGTTTGTTATACGAATAAAAACTTTGTGCTGAGAAGCCGAAGCTATGTAAATACCGTTTGACGACAAAACAGCCAAACTATTCGTAACCTTTACCACATCCGAGAAGTTCATCTCGAAAGTTAAAAATTTCACAAAAAACTTTCTAGTTATGTTTTTTTTAAATGATTGTTGCAACAATCATCAGTAAGGAATATTCTGAGAGATTACCTCTAAATACAGAGGCGATTATTTTGGTAAATTCAAAGCGCTGATAGATCCTAACCGAGATCTAAGGCTGACTGTTATTGAGCGATTGTGAAGAAAGAATCTCAAAGAAGAAAAGGAGATGGGAAAATGTTAGCCGACAGATCAGATAACAAGCAATATATACACTTCCATACATACATTTGCACTTATAAACGAAAGTGATCAGTAACAGTCAATGAAATATGAGCATTAAACCGAAGCAATCAGATGATCGACCAGGGAAGACTAGAAATAAATGGAACACGCATTCACAACATCTACAGTTTCAAACCCGCTACACTCTTAAGACGCCGAACGCGCGCCAAAATATATGATAGCAACCAAGCTCTTGTTTCGCAACCTCCGATTTCGCGTTGCAGGTATACAAAATAAAGGCTTCTTTTACTTTCCCTTCATGTTATTAGGAACAATCAAATATTACAAATATGTTTATTTTCTTATTCCTCCAAAATTTTAGTTTCAGTGTGGAAAGAGGACAATCAAAATTAGGGTACATATAAATTATCTGAAATCTTACGCGAACACGAACAAAAATGGACTCCAAAAAACCTTCAAATGGTGAAGCCACGGCTCATTTTTGGCCAGTTTGACAGAAGAACTTTCCACTTAATCTTCAAAGTCTTATTTCACCCCATTTAGACCTTTCAAATATCGTGTTTCCTCCCTCACTCCAAAGAATTTAGAATACTCTGGCACATATCCAACGGTGAGCTACGAACTTAGTTCGAGAACTGAAATTCAAACCTTGTAAACAGCACTTCAAGCCATTGAACCTATACCCATCACAATATAGGCATCTCATTGGTAACCATTTAATAATCTACGACATTATGAACACTCCTGAACATCCCCTTAAATACCTACCTATGCTCACTTCTAACATAAATCTTAAAGGTAACACCCAGACACTGGAGACACATCAAAGCAGAACGGACTGAATGCACACCTCCTATTCCTTAAAAGTAGTCATATTCTATAGTTCACTGCTGGTTGGTCTCGTTCGTGTGACTTCCCATGAGTCCTCCAAACATAAAACGTGACATATTCTCAAGTACTCAGGAGAGCATTTCAATAAAATTTACCAATGTTTCCATTTTATAAAAAATATACCCAGATTCTTATCTGGGGTAATAGATGATCTACTGCTACTAGGTATGGAGGTCCGTCAAGTGAAAACTTCCTCTATTCCACCCAGAACCGTCCGAACCATTTAAATTTTATTTTTATTCACTTGTTTCTCTAAAAGCCATTATTAAGAAATCTTAAAATACTAGATGACAAATTGTCCAACTCAGAAATATGTCCGAAACTTCAACTTGGCAATAGTTTTTAGTTTTTTAACTCGAACATCTTTTGGAGATAGAACTCGCGAATCAATTTCGCGGCTACTAAATAATCAGTACGCTACCCTTTTTATCACTATGCTATTAAAAATAGTAAAGGGGATATTGTTTATATTGAATGTTGATGTTCCTCCTCAAATTTCCTTGATTCTGCCAGCTCTTACTAACGTGAGTTTTCCGAAATCAATTTCACTGTTGTCTATAGACTAAGTCATTCAAGTTTCTGTTTTGACGAATACATACGGTCTAATAGAGTCTATGTGTACATGGTTCTGTGATCACTTTTTTAGCAAGCTTCAGCTCGTATGTTGCAGTTTCGAAAATTACCTGAAAATTTACAATACTGTGACCATTTTCGCCGGCATCTAATTATAGTTTTAACCCTTAAACGGATTGCTGATTTTTTCATACAGTTTTCTGGCAACACGTTTTTGAGTAAGAATATTCCTATCAGAACTGCAACACTCATATCAAGCAATGTTTACTCTTCAAAGGAAAAGATTTGAGATGACGTTGCCTTCGTTGCAATATTGCGATTTTTAACGCTGCAAAAATTCAACCTACGCTAGATGTGTCAGCAGAAGTTACTGATACCATGTTTTATGACGGTAATTTATAACAATTTACAGCTCAGGTTGAGATATCATGCTCCAGACGTAGACCTTTTTGTTTCGGTTATTCAATTTTAAAGAACCATCCTCTCAGCAATTGGTTATAAACGAAAGAAAATAGTAAGATATTGATGTCTAATTCACTATTCGATACATCGTAGGCCAGTATTTGGTCACTCAACATACGGTAACAAAAGTCAGTGTCTCTCGTCTTATCTTCAAACCTACCAAAAATCATTTTAAACTGTTTTGAGCCCTCGTCGTTAAACTTAACTACTCATAGTTTTCCATGATGATAAAGTGACATTTCCTTTAGAGGGCTATCATCTTTCACCTAACATTTCAACATTCAAGCCCTGGTTTGCACAAATTTTGAAACATTCCATAAAAATCAGATCTTCAAGAGTATTTCAGTCTTCTTATGGAGTTCAATTTTCTTTTCCAATGAGTCTATTGATCAAATTAGAAATACATTGTTTGCTCTCGTAAGATCAGTTGGCTGATATTTAATAGCGTTTTGAACAGTTTTTCTTGGTGATTTTATTCAGGCAGTGCTGCACTAAAGATATCCAGGCTACACATTGCAGAATTATATTACTTCACTATTATTCTCTTACCAGATAGACTTTATAATGTCTCAGCCACTGTCAAATTACTCATTTGAAGTTGGTTTTTGATTGTTATTTTTCATTAATTTAAACGATGACGCCAATTTTGTCGTCTTTTCCCAATAGCATTAGTTACAGCGGTAGTATTTTATATACCGTTTAATCGTTCAGACGGTCCGACCTATAAGACGAAACTGAAATACATTTCCTCGCCTATGGGAATATGATAACTGATTTGTATCTGGTTCATCATAAAAACAGTTTGACATTATCATACTCATATTGTGACTTTTATGCCATAAGCTATTGAGTGGACTAATATAACTAATAAAACGGTAAAAGCTACTTATCATTGACAAAATGAATAAGTATGAGTAAATTATGAACTAAAGCGATGCAAAATTAAGTAGTTTTATACATACTTAGCACAATGAAACGCTCTCCTGCAAATACAGTGACACCAGTACAATATTGAATTAGCAGGCTCTGTTCGTCTTGACCCGCCATTATTGAAACTCAAGGTTGCTCTAATAATGCCGAACACCGTTAACATAGAAAGACATAAACTTAACCAAGCGATGTACCAGAAACTGAAGAAATATATTATGAGCAAAAGAAAGCGAGAACAAGAAGGTACCTATAGGTGGAACATTTACAGTTTGGGATTCTTTAGAAAAAGCACAAGACGCAATTGTTAAACGTTTACGACGTGAAAGGGAAGAATCTAAACGACAAGCCGAAATGGATACAGAAAATTTAGAAAATACTAAAAAAGAGGTACGGTTATTCAAAGGTTTAACGTAGGAGTTAAGATTTTGGTAACTCGAAAACGCATAGAAGAACTCACATCTAGAAGAAATGAGCTATTCCAGCGACTAAAACAAATCGCCAGTGAGGAGACAAGCCTTCGTGAAAAACAAAAAAGGTAAGGTGTTTTCAGTCGAGATTATTTCTCTTCAGCGAAACTATGGCTTACTTAGCAGGTATGCCACCTACTCAATTCGGTTTGGACCCAAACAATACTAGCACGCAAAATCGGCTTACGGTGCCCCAAACTACATTACCTACAGGACAACCAATGCAACCACAGGTTGTTCAACATGTCTCTCTGCCAAAACATAACTTGAATGCTAGTGGATCTGCATCAATATCTAGTATAAATTCTGAAACCTTGAGTGGTTCTCAGTCTCCTCACAGACCGCATCATCCGTCTTTATTTGGCTTAAATGGGTCTAAATCGGCTCATACAACAATTTCAACTCAAACGGGGCTAGGTATGCAGCAAGGTTTGGCATCAATAACAAATAATCCGTCAGCCACTATGGCAGCAGTAGCGGCTGCCGTAGCTGCACAACAAAGGTCAATGCCGTCATCTGATCCGGTTAGCGTTTGTTTATTTTAACTCATAGTTTTATATAACCTGTTGGCTCACTGGCTGCACATTTTCTAAAACTAGGAATTTATGGGTAGATAATCGAATCATATGTAATTTGCCTATTTCTCCATAACCATTTCATGTATGTCTAGTCTTACAACCAATTGTGTGTAATAGTGCCCCTCATCTCCCCTCAAACACTTAGTTCAGTCACACTATGTGCCATGCAAAACTCGCAAATATATGACCCAGAAAGTCACCATAGACTGAATATTTCAAAAAAAATTGATGAGTGCTGAATGAAGAGATACTAGCCGAAATTTAATTAGGTTATTGCCCCGTCCTTCTAAAAATAAATGTAATGTAAGCCGATTTTTACCCGAATAAAACTACTCCCTATCTTAGGAAATGGAGAAGAAGTTTATCAACTAGTGGCGTCAGCAGAGTAAAACATCCTTAACCTTGTATTTTATTGTACAATATTTTCTTATTTAAGCATATAAACATTGGTACAAGGAGGCACCAAGTAGATATGTGCCATATAAGTCATTCGGTTCGTGTGAGGGGTGAGATACTGCCCGGGCGTCCAAACCGAAACAGGTAGTTTTCTTAGATGGTCACTCCCTGAGCCTTTGACTTGGAGGCCTAGTCCACGGCCAACGTAAGGAGATGCAGTTCCAATGGTGGCCGGTGGCGAACAATAAGCTCATACGCTATTTGTCTTCTTAGGACGTTGGAGTCCATGTACACCACTTGTTTGGGATCAGGGTTTTTCAACTCCCGTAGATGGATCCTCTGTATCCACCAAGCCTGTTAGAGCACTGTACATTCGCGTTTCGTTCTCTGAGATTCCTGTTCCACTTGTACCAAAGCCTTTGCTGATAGAAGTGCTTGCGCAAACGTTCATAAGTGCCTATTACCCGAAAGCTCAGCTCTACTGCTTTTTTGACAATTAGGATACTTGAATCTTAATAAATGAAAAATTGCACATTTGACTCTTTGAAATGGAACTGCGATGTCTCGCAAGATACTGAAATAGCACTTATTCACTTATCGACCAATTGCACTCTCCTATCTTCCACAGCAATTGATATTTGTGAGGATTTGGAACGCGTTACTAAAGCAGAAATGTCACTCTGACATAGCGCCATGGTGTAAAATTAGCTGTGTAGGTCTAACAGCTGTCGGTCTTTGACTGCTCGCTAGATGGATTTCTAGATATTACACAACCCACTGCTTCAAGTTGCTTAACAGACATGGCTCGAAATAAGTGCCACTGACGGTCCTGTGTAGTACTCCACTAGATCCTCATGCAAGTAAGATGAAATGTCAACTAAATTGCGTCTATCTTGTCTGTATGTTTCATTGTTCCG